TGACTCTAAATATAAAAGATAGTCTTCAAGGATTTTTTTAATCTCACTATTGCAGCAGTGCTCTTGCATTACATCAAACAAAAAAGGGTTGTTCGGTTGTTGTCGTTTAGGATATCAAGCATCCACACATTTGTGTGTGTGTGTGTGTTTTATTAGTCTTGGCAAGCTGAGCGTGGAAGGCAGCGAGCTTGTTTACCTTTTGCAGCATGTGAGGCGATGGGATCATTGTTTCTTAATGATAAAATCTGACCTCTGACGGGATCAGACAGGTCTGTTGCGTGCTAAGCCGCTCCTGACAACATGTTTTGACCCTCATCCAGCTGGAGAAGAGGGGTCTTAGTGATAGAAAACAGGGGGAACAGTGGGAACAGGGTTCGTAGCTGTCAGAGAGGTCTACGTGTTTTACAAAAAGAATAAGCGTCAATTTTAGGGGAGGAATGCGTAACATCACTATGGTGAATATCACAGTAGATGTTATTTTTATTGCGGAAACATGGTTTTAAGCGTAGTTCCTTCTGCTGTGGGCGGCTGATAGCAGAGTAAACCCTTTACAGGGGACACTACCACAGCGTTTGGCTCCGGTTGCCTCTGTTTGCTTTATCACTGAGCTGCAATGTGGGCCTGGGCAGATGCACGATATTCCCATTTCAAAGGCAAGAGTTCTTCTTTGCCTGAAATGTTCACGGTCATTCCGTTTGAAAGCATTTATTGTTTGAGAGGAAAGGAACCTCTGGCTGATCTGGTGTCAGAGCTTTTAAAACTGTACAGAGTCCAGCTTCAGTACTGAATCCGATAGTGTTACGTCCCTAAAGTGTCTAGCGGTGGAGGACGCAAACAATGTAAAATTATAAACCCGGGAGATCTGGACAAACGGCGAATAAGGTTATTTCAATCAGGAGAGACTCAATTAATAGAATAATACTTTATTACACACGCATCAAATATGAATTGTGCAACGTCTTTGCCGATTGGACTCCATCATACTGAGGTCCAATAGGCCTAATCCCCCTGGAGTCCAGACACTGGTGGTGGTGGTGGAGGTGAAAGGAATAGCAGCAACCTGATGATGAACCAGGAACAACGCCGATGCTGACTGAAGGCGACAGGGGTGGAGGAGGGTCGCATCAGCTACACACTGAAATGACAGCTGACAGCCAACAGAGAGGAGAACACTTTTAAAAAGTTTGACAGCAACAAAGTGATTGGCTCCCGGAAACCGTGTATAGAATCTGATTGGTTACTAAACAGCTGATAGAGTCTGACTCTGGCTTCCATAGAAGCAACCCAACACGTCTCTGGTCACGCTCGGGCTTCCACGGAAGCAACCACCTCACTCTGGCTTGGCACAGCCATTTAACCCCTTCCTGATGAGCTGCAGCTGCAGGAGTGACATCACCAGCACACCTGAGAATCATGCACACACACACACACACACACACACACACACACACACACACAAACACACACAGGCAGAGAACACAGCAAAACAAAACAAGGCACGTAACAGATACCAAGATCCAGCCTTCTGTCAACCATGGAATATTGAGGAAAAAAGAGGACTAGGTGGTGAGCTTTGCCTGACGTAAGATGACATAGTCGACATATGTTTCAAGATATTCTATCAGAAGGTGTTATTAATGATTTACAAACAACCATGTCTTTGCCACAAAATACGCGTTAATTATGTTATGTACATACTTAATAGTCCATTAAAACAGGAAAAACTATTGAGACGCTCTCGCACTCACTAACGAAACACTCTTACGTTCACACACACGCATATAGATAGATAGATAGATACATATGCAAGTGCTTCACATATATTTGTATAAATGTTTCACATGTGTACGTTTTTTAGTTGTGCGTGCTCTTACATGAGGATGTGCAAGCGTTTCACATGTATTCATACGAGTAATCTCCCTAGTGTGTATGAATGAAATCTCACTAGCATGGTGAAGGTCTCAGTTACACCGGAAGGCGGAAGCAAAGAGGGCAGTTTTTAAACAGCAAGAATCTTACGACCTTCCTTAATATGCTTTTAAGACCGGACTTGCATATTTAAGTTGTGGAATGTAATTTTAGGACTTTTTGAAACGAGAAGTTAGTTGTTTAAGCAAAATTTCTGCGGCGGGTTGGTCGACACCGGTCGGTTTGTCGGCCTTCGAACTTCTAAATAGCATAGATGTGACAGAAACGTGAACGATCAACCTATAAGTAGCTGAGTAGAAGAGCGCATGCTGTCATTGTGTGAGGTCCCCGGCTCAATCCCATGAATCTTCACTTCTTAGTAAAGCACTAACTGCTCATGCTTTATTTGATACACAATGCTCAAGAGTAGCTGCACAAAAACAAGAAATGGAGAAGCGGATGAATTGGTCCCTGTAATGGAGAGGGGGAAAGTCTTGGATGGAGGGAAACTGTCATGTCCAATAGAAAAACACATCGTTCAATAATCAGCACTATATATGGATTAATAAATTCTATCAGGTGAGGGAAAGCAGGTTTGAACCCAGCTGGGCGTCTGCTCACACGACAACACCTCCTTCATTTCAATCTTTTGTGACAACGGATCGAAAAAAGAAATTCAGAGATAATTAGATAAGCAGAGAAGGAGTGACAGGAGGACGGGAGGGAGGAGACAGAGAGCGGCGTTTATGCCTCCCAAACATCTGCTGGCTGATCAGCATGAAGGGACATCAGGAGAGAACCTAAACAACACTCATTGCATTCCCATCGTTTGGCTGTTCATTGTGTTGAGCATTAATAATCGAAAGTTAGCATTATAACACTCTATACTCTGCTTGAGTACACAGCACATATTATAGTTGATAGTTGTTAACTGAAAAAACTATGTAAATGTAAATGTGTATATGTTAAGTCACCATAACTATGATCCATACATTCAGTCTGTGGTTATTCGTTTAATACAGCCCCAAGAATTGCTGCGGATGCATGTAGACTATACAGATATGCATCAACAAGACTGTAAATATCTATCCTTTGATTCCTGCAGAGCTTTCAGAGAATCATGTGTATTATGGGATTCAAACTGTCCATTTAGAATTTAGAGACGTTTAGCGTTTAGCACAAACTATTAGGCTAAGATGCAAAGTACAGCAACACGTAGCTGCAGTTTGTGCTCTTTGACAACCTGCTGCCTCCACTAATGAGCTGCAGGCTTTTAGAAGCTAGAGAAGCGAACCACAAAGCTGTGTCTGCTGTGCGTCAGTCACCTGCTCACAGTGATCACAAGAACATTTAATCTTTTTTCAAAGCTGCCACCACTTTATTGAGATGCCTCTGATACTGTCGACTCAGTTGAGTGCACTCGAGTGTGTGACGCCGTCACTGTATTCTGGATATGCATGAAAGCTCGGCAACAATGTTTGTGATACAAAATATAGCCATTACTGCATTGTGATGACACTTTATCACCCCGGAGAATGGGACTGACGAGATTTGTTTCGACAATGTCAGTGACAATTCTGTTGTTTTGCTTTTGAGTGTATGAATAGGCACAGTTCCTCGGGGGTAAATTGAAGCCGACAGACGGGGTGGCTGGTGTTCCCCCTCGGGCAAAACCTGGTGAATACCGATCTGTTCTGGGGGAAAAGGGGGGAAAAATCTCCAGTCAACGTCAAGAAATGTTAAATCAGTATAGCCACTCATTCGCTTCCTTGGCTGCCTCCATCACATAGACATCTCGTCCCAAACTTTTCTGAAGACAAAAATGGTTAAATGCTTTTAGCATTGTTAGCCAGAAAGTGATGTATGTCAAGGAACGCTCTGCAAAGGCATTTACAGCATCAAATCTTACACAAATACTGGGATGACACATTGTGTGACCAGAGCTAATACTGTGTGCTGGGATGTATTGATCCGGTAGTACAACAACACGCTGTCTGACCTGACGAGGTTCATTTAGGCTCAGGTTGGATCTCTGTTACTCAGCTTCTTTGAAATTAACGTGACAAAAGGCACTTTTGAGCAGAGTTAATATAATTTTATTGTTTATCATACGCTTTTCTGCTCTGTCTCTTTTTTCGTCTGCACACTCTTCCCTTTTTCTCTCCACGTCCACATTCGCAGCCTCTCCTTTGAGCTGCTTCAACTCCCCGAAGACAGACAGACAGACAGGCAGGCAGGGAAGCAGGCTTTGGGGGATGGGGGTGTTGGTGGTGGGGGGACGGAGGGGGAGGGTGCGAGGAACAGTGTTCCCAGAACGCCCACACATGTGCACATTGACTTACGTACGTATGCACACACTGGAGAACCAGGTTTATAACCGAAACACACACTAACCCTGGAACACAACCGCCGCCAGTCTTTCTACCGGAACCCCCCCCCCCCCTTCTGAGCCCCCTCTGCAGTTTAATTGGCGCAATTATATTTGCATAAGGCTGTCGTGTTTCAGACCCCTGACAAGTTTTAATAGGCAGGATAATTGAATATGGATCCCCCTCCAGTGCCTGAAGGGTCTATTTGTATATTCAGAAAAGGATCATCGCTCCATACGTTTACTTAGCCAAATAGGACGCCATTTGCCACAAGCTCAACTGTTAATCATAGACTTCAAAAGGTTAATGGACTGGGAGGGTTTTGGGGGGGGGGGGTCATCATTTTTAAAGATGATTGAAAGAGCTACGAAAAAAATTGAAATCCTGACTAAAACTTCTTTATTTTAAGAGATGCACCTTTTTAATGAAATACTTCACAACTAATTAAAAAAGTTAAAAGAGCAAAGATAATGAGAGGAAGGCTTGAAGTGGAAATCAACTTGACATTTTCCCCAAGTGTGTTTTTCTTTTTGCTAATTATTACCAGGGTACAGCGTAATGTGTGAGACCGAATGAATGTCTGCGCCGCTGCCTTGATCAGAAAGAACAAGGGAAACATAATTACCGCAAAAGCAACGCAGCTGAAGGTGCTGATTAAAGGACTTACAAGAGACATTTAATTGTTTTCTTTGCACCCCAATTGGAAGAAACCTTGAGATTTACTATTAAAAGAAGGGATTTATTTCACTATAATTATGTACATCATTTCATATTCTATTAATTATAAAAAATAGACATAAAAAATGGTTCATGAGAGTAAATAGATTTTGGTCACATCCCGTACTTCTGCTTTCAAAAATCCTGCTGTATATTAGACACTGTATACTCGGCTGGTATTTCCATTTTTTGACACACCCTATGACTAACATGGAGCCTAAATTACATGCAATGAAATACCTGCAAGATATTCCTAAGAATACCTATTTCTTTACACAAATAGGTCTCAAAATGATAAATAAAATAATCCAATCTTCTACACTTGGCAAGCTGCAAATTTTCCATTATGAACTGTATCTTTTAGGCTTTTTGTCTTTATACACGGTTCATTTTTTCTATTTTTTAACATCCCCCCTCCTCCCGTCCCCCTTCCCCTCTCTCTCTCTCTCTCTGTCTCACTCCATCTTCCTTTCTTTCATTTATGAACTCACCTCACCTACGCTATCAATCCCCCCTCCTCTTCCTCCTCCTCCACCTCCTCGTTTTACACACACACACACACACACACACACTGCAAACCCCCTCGCCTAAAAATGAAATCTGATTTTCCCACTCCCTCTCGATCTCTCTATGTGGATGAGGGTCTCTGGGTCTTTTGTTCATCCTCCCGCTCATGTGGCCTCTTCTGGTTGCCGCGGCAACCCGGGTGTATACATACTGTTGCTCCAGGAGAGAACTGAGAGAGATGAGAGAGAGAGAAAGGTTTGGTGGGAAGAGATGGCGTATGAATAAAGGGAGAAAGAGAGAGAAACAAATAGGAAGAAATATGGAGTGATGGTGAAAAAGAGTGGAGTGGGTGAAAAGGGAAAATGAGGACAAAAGGATACAGGAATAAATAAACGTAGGAAAGAGGAAGGATGCAGATTTACTTTTTTCCGTGGTTCTGATTAATCTCCCCTCCTCATTCCACCCCCCAAAACATATGATTACATGAAATTAACTACTTCTGTAGTCAAGCACTTTTCTTTCCATTTGTTTGGCAGAAGATGATTGAATTTTTTTAGATGCACAGCAAACTTTTAATCTAATCTCTCTGAACATTCCTCTTGTGTGTTTCATATCAGCGACTGATTGCAGGACAGAAATGTTAAGCCTCCTCTGCTGCAGAAACAGCAAATTGCTCCGGTTCAGAGCTTCAGCAAAAAAACTGAAATGTAAAATGTGCAGCAATTAGATTGCAAAATGTAGAGAGAAACAAGCCTATTCTCTTTCATCTGGCATCAAAACTTGTTTGACTGCGCCATAATCCCAGAATTACAGAAATCAATTAGGCTTTTTTTTTAGATTTCATAACATGAAATTCCATTATTATTACTGTTATCATTATTGTTCTGTCATATGTTTTTATATTTATTATTATACAGTAATATCATGCATAGTAAAAATGGAAACTATAAACACAAAAAGGAAAAGACGAAAAGATAAACATAAAAAACATAAAAAAGGGTGAGAAAAACTAAAAAATAACGTTGAATCAGGGAGATGATTGAACACTTGGAAAAAAAATGGATTGGGACAGTAAAACAAGGAGAGACTCAAGAAATATCAGCTTCCTTCTCCACCTGGTTGTCTGTGTTTGCTGTATCAGAGGCCCTGAAGGAATCCACACCCTGCAGACAATCTGCCATCTGCCATCTTGGCTCCAGTCCACCGCTGATTACTGCAGCCAAGATGCTGCCCAGTCACAGATATTCAAAAGAATTACATTCGAAACTCTCAGACATGTTTAATAATGTAGAAGAATACACAGGCCGACTGACAAAAGCCGTATGGTAAATGATTTGCTATACTGGCTTTTATGGTGGGGAAAAAAAAACTATCAACTGCATTTTGAGACAAACTTGTTGTACAATATAAAGACTTTGGCTGTGAAACTGTTGAAATGCATGGCAACTGACCATGGCAACCAACTAGACCATTGGAGGCCAACATGCTAAAATAAATTTGGTTACCTTTCAGACAAATACATTTTTATCATATTTCATGCTTGCAGAATATCGTTCACATGCAGGTGAAAGCTACTTTTGAATTAGCCCAACTAAGCAGGAGACATTGTAGAAAGAAACAGCTATCAACGAATACAACATTAGAGAAACATCTATTGAAAACTAATCTGTGAACTAAATTATTGCTGTCATTTAATGGCCGTTCCATTGAAGAACCTGAAGACTTGTAGCAAGCACTGTAGGCTAAAAGGTTGACCGTCTGCCTGACCACATGAGAGAGTACGTTAACTTGCATATCATGTAATACGTCCATGGTATAAGTTCAGGCAACCAAAAGGCAATAACAATGTGCAAGCAACTAACCGTGGAACTTTATTCATACAGCACTCGTGTGTAACATACAAAAGGCTCTGCTGGATGATGCTGATGTGAGATGGCTTCAGCTGCAGCCTGTTTTATCTCCACATGACAATTAAGGACACCCTGACTGACGGTTCTTGGGCGCGATGAGAGGACCGGGCGTCTTATGACTGGTTTGGGAAGTTGGTAGCAGTCTGTGTGCATTGCTGGTGACCCGCTTATGAGAGGACTGACTGGCGGAGTGGAAAGCTGATGAGGGGATGATGAACGGAGTCGGGCAGTAGAGACTCGTGGTTATCAACCATGCCAAATGCATGCATGTACATGCGCACAGACTCACATAGACCGTAGAAGGATCATGACACGACGCTCTGATCTGAAGCTAATGCTGAACCATCCAGACTCATTGGCATCATTCCATCTCTCACACACACACACACACGCACACACACACTTTTCTGGCAGTTCTCCATTATGATAATCTCTACTCCCTCTCATGCATGTACATACCCACATGCTCAGAGGCCACCTGAATGTAGCTCTGCCTCAAAAAAGAAACTGAATGGACGTTCATCCTGTTATCCGGAAACATTTGCATCTTTATGCCACTTTGATTATTGAGCTAGCTTGGCATCAAATAATCGAACAGAGTCAACAATCAGTTGCAGTAAAGAGTAAGAAAACTGGGAAAAAATATTGATGGGCTGCTGCAAGAGCACCTGCTATGTTGATTTTAGAGTTTATAAGGTTGGTACCAAGTTGTCCCTATCTTTATTCAATAAGTAATGTCTCTCAATACCATTTATAATGGGGAGACAGATACTGTGTTAATCTCTCAGTCAGTCTGCACTGCACCAACTGGTTATGCTTCTATGTTTTGTTATGTAGAAGATGGAGACATTATATGCTACGTGCATCAAAAGATTTAGTCTAGAGGAACTTTGGTGATGTTTAGCTGTCATAGTTACTCTGTTACACCCTTTGCTTTTATTTAACCTTCTCTACAAAAGAGAAAAGGTTGTGGACAGTTATGAGTCAAGAGCCAATGGTACAAATAGAGTACACAGTACAAAGCTATTGTCTCATTGCCAACTGAGCTAAGCTAAGGAGAGCATACTGGTTTGTGGACCAAATTCTTTTTCAAAATACGCTTAAAAATAAATAAAAAAATAACTAACTTATTCGGCAGAACATAGACAACAATTTATGTGTCGGAAACTTTTATCCCATCTCCTTATAATATGAATATTTTAGTTGTTATTAATCCTGTTTGGGGTTGTAACTACATTCATCTCTTTACCAGGTCATAAGAATTATACACGTCCCATGCCCCTTATCTGTATAATTACAGATTACATGTGATAACCCAACTCATACAGACGTGTGTACATGTCTAATCCCCCCATCATGCATCTAACGCGTGAGCAGAATCAGCATATTTCATTTGTTTGTTTTAGGACTGACACAGACAGATTAACATATTAATCACTTTAATCGTTTGTTTGCATTTGTGTAAGGGTGTGTGTAGCTGCATCAACGCATCAATTACTGCTACAATGTTAAACTAGCTCCTGGATCAGATGCTGTATATTGATGATATAATGCATGTGCATGTATGTAGGCATGCATGCATTATTCTAAACATATACAGTAAATAGATTATGTGGGGACATTCCGCGTAATGAGAATGTGTGTAAACATCAGCAGATGTCATGTGGGCAAACGCTTAGTGGGCAGTATCCCTCACAGGATATTGTCACATATAATAAAGATGCAATTAATCTGTATGTGTGTGTGTGTGTGTGTGTGTGTGTGTGTGTGTGTGTGTGTGTGTGTGTGTGCATCTCTCTCTCAGTCTCCCGCGAGATCGCGTGCCTGATGAGTGCCTGTGGAGACGCCCGCAAATAAAAATAAACAAAAAACAGCTCCTCCGGGACAGACACAGAGTGATCTCACGATAAACTTTTTTCCTTTCCTAACTGGAATAAATAAAAGTGACAGGAGCACGTGTGGACAGATATTATAGATTAATATCAGATAATGCCGGAAACTAACTTTTTTTTTGTTTCTCTCCGCGAGCTGCTTGTACATGAAGAGAAACCAGATCAAATGATATATCTATACATGGATTTTCCTTTAGAAAGTTACTATTACGATAGATCTTTGCTTTCTTTTCAGTCCCTGCAATGTTCTACATAGAAACACAGTGATTCCATCCTACTTTCTTTTGCTTTAGAAATGTCTTTGTGTCCCCCTCTGCCACACACACACACACACACACACACACACACACACACACACACACACACTGAGTCCCTTTAGTACTCAGGTTTGACCTTTAAATACACTGTCAGTTTGTTTCTATATCTTTGTAAAGACACAAACACAACCTGAAATTGCCTGTGGGCTCCTGCTCACAATCTCACAATCAATGCTTTCTGACATTTAGAGGGGTGGAGGAGGAAGGGAAGTGTGCGTATGTGCATTGTACATGTACATGTACAAACCAACAACTAGGCATACAGGTGAGGTCCATTCAGCTAAACTGCTGTTCTAAGCAGCTGTTTCCATTTATTAAAGTACACTTTTCGAAGTAACTCGTTTAAATAGTACAATTTGTGGCAGCGTCACAATCGTAACGATCCTTTTGAGTTTAATTACTACTACGAAAAAAAGACATTGTCTGTTATGAGGTCTGCCCTCGTTTTTCTCCAGAGAGTAGTTTAAATAATCTATAAGAGCATATTATGAATTTGGAGAGGCATCTGATTGCACACAATACAAGCACTATCTGCACACTGTAATCAATATGCATCTGATCTATCCGTTCCTGCTAATGGAGGGCAAGTAAGTATTGACAGTATGTGTAAGATTGCATTCAATCAATATCAGCCACACACTGCACAGAAATGCTAAAATGATAGTATTTAAAAGAAAACAGACAACAAATGAATACCTGTGCTGTCAAACCGATACAAAGGACGATCATTTAGAGCACAAGACCTCTGGGAGATCGATCCGGCCTCCTGGGTGGCCGATGCATCGTGAAACACTGTCAACAACGGGTCGCTCTTCCAGGCGCATCCTGGGGCCACTTCTTTGTTGTCAGAACACACTTTTCTTTGTTTTTTTGTCTCCTAATTTGTGTGCACGCTGACAACCTGTTACCTGGTTTCCTTGTTGGAAGGGACCAGAATCTTGGACACACTGGAGATTAATTATGTACCAGCGTGATTGAAGTGTGTGTTCGACTGCAGAGTCGCAAACACCACTTCAATCAGCAATCAACAAGACGCTCGTCCTCGTGTTGGTGGGTGGAGGACAGCGGCTCGTCAACAGGGACCACGGTGGCTGCTCAAGCTGTCAGAACTACGGCGACCATGGTGACGATGAAGGTTCCCTGCAGATGGGACCGTTTGTATTTCAAGCATCTGTTGATTTTGACACACAAAAGATAGATATACTGTATACACGTGTACATAAAGAATAAAGAAAATGTGGCTGCATCTATTTTAAGAGCAGCAAACATCAGAGACTGAGCATTTGTGAACTTTTTTTTAATATAAATTAACAACAGTACTGATTTACTCTCTTAAGGTTTAGGTGACAACAAGATGTGTTAGTTTACAGAAATACAGAAAGGTCTGAAAAGAAGACCACCCTCCAGAAAAAAGTATGTTATTCAGCTTTTTACTGCACAAACCTGTTCTGCTCCGTCTTGGACACATACCTCGTTCCTCAGTCTTTGTGGGTTGACCGCTTGAAGGTTGGGATGAGTTCGCTTAATTAGGAGGAGGTCCAAGTGAGCCGCTTCTGGTGATGCATTTTACCCATTGTTCACGTTGAACTACTGTTTCTTCAGGTTCTTAAAAGGCATTACTACTATTCATATATTCAAGATGGTGATTCTGATGTCACACAAATCCAGGTATAACATATAACATTTAAATAATCTCCAGTATTACGTGTTTTCATCAAAACGGGATAAATATTAATATAGTATATTTTGTTTGTATGGAAAACTAATTAAATGACCAGGCTGATGAGTAAAACACGGTGAGTGATGATGATGTCGATGATGATGTGAGTTGGAATGGACTTGTGTTCTAATGTCTGTTTAATGGTGCTCTGCATGTGTGTGTGTGTGTCTGTGTGTGTGTGTGTGTGAAGAGGAAATTAAAATGACAAATTCTCCAAACTGAGCCTTACCAGATTGTATGATGGATGATATGTCCCTTAAGAGCCTGCAAAGATTGAATCTGTTTACCACTTACAACTGTGAGGAACGCACAAAGCTCTGTCCAAAACAACATCGAACACATAACAATTGGATTAAAGTATTAGTGCATTTGACACAAATACGGTAAACATATTGAGACAAAGTCCAGACGGGAGCGGACTCACAAAAGTAGTGACACCCCCGAAAACCACGGAGAAAAACTGATGCCTTAAAGCCACGACGTCTCATAACAATGAGATTAAAACCATTTTTAATGCCCGCGTTGAAAAACAACTCTCGAACCCTAATACCCCTTTCTACAATCCTCTTTCTCGATTCACCCTAAAAACACTTAACCAATAATCAGCTTAGTTTACACAAGTTCTCTATCAAAGACTGAAAGGATTCATGTTCCTTTCAAGAAATTGAATTCCGTCGTTACAACAGCTAGAAATTAAATGTAGATGTCAGGTTTATTTCAGCTCCGTTGTCTCTGTGAGAAAGGTTGCATTGCTTTTTTTTGTGGATAAATTAGCCGGAACTAATTCAAACCGGCAATAGCGTTCACATTCAAATCATTCAAGCAAATTGGCACCATAATCCATCAGAGGGTATTTTCTTTTGTCTGGACTTTGAATGGTATCAGATTATTCCCGCCCAATTGAATCTGTTGTTGGCTCAGTTTGGATCAATGGGGTTGATTTAATTCAGTCAGGGAAGTCAATACCTTTAACTAATGCTAATTTAGATGTAAATGATACTCACATGATACAATACAACCTGTACAGTCAAGGTCATGTGAGGACAGACAGAGGAGAAAAGTGGACTAACAGAGGAACAGCACAGGCGATACAAGTGGTACCCCTGATGTTGAATTATTTTTAAAAACATCACACAGTCCACAATGTCATATAAATAAATGAAGTAAATGATGCTGCTCCATCCACTTAGCCAATGGTCCAGCTGAGACTGTGGGGGGATTGGTGCTGGTACTACTGGGACCAGTGTGGTCTCTTTAATGGATTAGCTGGCAGCACAATTGCTAACATACACACCATTTAGCATTTGAAGTAATCTAATCCATTCTGTTTGACAGTGACGCGGGCTAATTCTGTCTTGAGGCAACTGATGGTGTGTGCGTGCGTGTGTGTGAGTGCGTGCGTGCGCGTGTGCGTGTGCGTGTGCGTGTGCGTGTGTGTGTGTGTGTGTGTGTGTGTGTGTGAACCCTCCAGCCACCAGCAGTGCAACCCTCTCTGACCTTACAGCACGAGTTGAGGCCCCAGGTGTCCCGGTACGCCCTCCAACAAACACGCAAACAGACAGCTGGCCGCCCATGTGACCCCCTCCCTGCGGTATGGGAACAAACACTCTTGTCAGCAGACGGGAGAGAGCTATAAGGAGTGTGTGTGTGTGTGTGTGTGTGTGTGTGTGTGTGTGTGTGTGTGTCCATATGTGTTTCCTTCATGCTCGACCGCTCACCTGCACGCGTGTGATTGCGCGTCGCTTGTTGTGTGTGTTTCAGACGGGAGCTCAGAGGACGACCGTTAACAACGATGTCTCAACGTCCTCCTTGATTCTCTTTCTACCTCCCACAGTGCGAGGAATGGGCGAGAGGGGAGGGAGGGGGGAGGGGGGGGGGAGAAATTAAGTGTTGGGAATGAAAGAAAAGTGTGTTTGGCGCCTGGTGGGAGATGGAGAGGAAGGGAGGGGTGACAGAGAAAAAGAAGAAAAGAACGAAGTGGTGCCGTTGGCACGGTGCAAGTAAAGGTTGGAACAGACATCAGACGAGATTCACGTCTCCTCTGATCCTTCTTCACTCAGCGTTTCTCTCTCTTCATTAACGTCTTGTTTTTGTTTTTTGTTTTTTACTGTTTTACAGAACCAACTGAAGCTAATTTAGCTTTTTTAGTTATCGCAATTGTTTCAGGGCCATCTGTAAAAACCTGCACGGTGTGGTGGGTCAGACAGGTTCACTCTCTAACAACCGGTGCAGAAGTGCCCATGAGCCAGGCGCACAGCCCTGACAAAGTGTAGGGAGGCGTTGAGTCCATGGTGATTCTGTCTTTTCTTTCCCCTTTCATCTTCGTCATTAGCAAAACTGCACACGAAGTAGAGAAATTACATTTTCACATTCCACTCTCTCATCATTTTTTTTCGCCCCCACTTTGTTTCTCTCACCCTTCGTTGCTCTCCGTCTTTCATGTATGGATCAGAGAAGCTTGCCACCTATCACAAGGGTCTGGAGAGGCTTTCCAATGAAAGCCGGTGTTACAGGCCTGATTTAACAGGGCGCTCACACAAAGACCCCACTGTCTCTCCGTCCCTCTGACTTTCTGCATCGCCCACCTGTCGGATATCCCTCTGCCTTCCTTTCCTCAAACACGCTTTCTCTGTAATGTCACTCGCTCACGGACTCTCGCTCTCTTTTTGCACACACACATCGGGCCGCCTCAGCCCTTGTTCTCTCACAATGGGATTAGCGGTGTGATTCCTCCACTCCTTTTAAGTGGGCACGCCACCAATCCACTTGCCATAGACTCCGCTGAATACTTAAAAAGAGGGAAGAGGAGGGGAGGGAGAAAGAAGGGGACAAGGGAAAAGGAGGGAAGATGAAAGGGCATGTGAACGGGAGGAAAAGGGAGTGAGGAGAGATGAAAAGGGGACCCGGATGGGAGGAGGAGGAGGACACGATCCTATTTGTGTGTGAAGTTACTCGACACTTTTTAGATGATCAAACGTGACTCCGTCTGGAACAGACCAGATGGAGAGATGGAAGGAAGACAGCAAGACAGAGCAAAGAAAGAGAAGGAAGCGCAGGACATAGAAGGGGGATCGGCTGGGGACTAATAGCCAGAGGTGAGGCAACCAGTGCATAACTCTAACAAGGACACACACACACAGACACACACGGACCTGTTGCCAGGGTGACAAGAGACAGCACCGCGCCCTCCCCCGTCGTGTTTCATACAGTGATGTCATCGGTTGCCGCCAGCGCCCGGCGGGACCTTGGCCAATGGGACAAAGGCACCAGAGGACCTTTTTCCTTGAGAGTTTAAAAAAAAAAATCTTTTCACTCTCTCTCTCTCTCTCTCTCTCTCATCCGCCCTCTCCATTTTTCTGTGTCTCTTTCTTTTTCACTTATTACAACTCAAGCGGCAGCAGAAGTTGAGGCTGAAGTCGTTCACTGCTGATGGCGAGCGAAGCTGATCAGACTCACGGGGAGAACTTTCCACTGTAGGAGAGGCTTCGGTGTTCAGATGCAGTAAAGGGAAGGCCATGCGTGCAGGTTATAGAATAACATCATGTTCAACTACTAACACCAAATGCTGAGGGTTTTCTCTCTGCACTCTGGATTTGAGAGTTACTTTCTATCTACGGTCGGGGTCTGGAACCCTCACTTGTCAGGAGGCATTTCCTGATTTCCGAAAAAATAAAATACATGCATTAACTGCACTCAAGGGAGCCATGTGACTTTTATTGTTAGTAGCGTTTTAATAGCTGTTGTGCTTTTTATCATTCATGTGCCCGCATGAGAGGGAAAGCTGATTATAAAATGAACATTCATGGAAAGCTCATTACATGAAGTGCCTCATCCGTTTTCCATTCTTTGCAGCAGTTTCTGCAAATGTGTACGTGCTCCCGCTTCTCCATTATCCTGCTTTATTTGGATATCTTTTTTCCAGCTTACCAATGTCTTATATCCCACTATCTACAGTCTGACATGTATTTGCCTTTGTTCCTGCTTTTTTCGTATGATGGGTCTCTCCTCTGCGCCATCGTCTTGTGTTTCCCCTTTGCTTTTGAGTATTGTTGTGCTTTATTGTGTCAAAGCTGGAGCCCACAAGGACACACATATACAGCCTCAAGTAGACAGGGAACCATCATTTCAGGGTGTTTCTCCCTTATGCAGCGTGATTTGTGAGTGTGTGACATTGCGTGTGCCCCAGGTTAGCGAATGGAGCTACCGGAGCGAGACTGATTGCTAATTATTGCATTGGATGTTGGCCGCATGTGGAGAGACGATGAAATAATATAGGGAGAGGGCTGTCGAAGAGCTCTATATGACACACACTCACACGCAAACACACATGCACACGCAACAGGAGGCAACATAGTGAGGTGATGAAAAGACACTTAGGCTTAAAGTCACTGCCTTTTAAGTGGTTATGAAACAGCCTCGATTTAATACTGATGCCTCTATATGACGCACATAAACACTACAACGTTTTTGCTCACAGTAACTTCAGTTTTAAAAAATGCGACACTCCATTGCAGATCTACAGTCCATAGTTGTGTGATAAGACACAAACTGTTGGTTGTTGGTCCCTGATAGCACTAACCTTTTCCTCGGTGATAGAGACAGGAAGCAGGTCTGGCCAGAGGAGACCCCTACATGACCTTTTTCCTGCCTGTTGACAAAAGAGTCCATTCTCTTTAGTTGCTCCGCTGATAACGATCCTGGACATAACAATATGGGAGGGAAAATATCAAAACTGACAGCAGACCGATGTTCACAAATCCAGCAGGTAAAAAAGTTCAAAGGTGACAGGCGAGCAGACATGAAGGATACACGAGAGCCAGTCCAGTCTGAAGCAGGCTAAATATATACAAACGCGTGTTTGTTTCAAAAGAATACATCTCTGTACAGGGTGTATGAGCTGTAATCATTTAGAGCAGATACGCTTTTGATAAAAACCCATTTGACCTCATGTGTTCTTTTTGAAAACTGTACTTTCTTTGACAAGACATGAAAAAGAAATGTAACTGTTGCTGTAAAATTGCACTAATCCACAGATCCTTGCACGTTGATAATAGTGCAACTATGATTATCCAGAGGATGACATACAGATTACAACTTCTTGGCGGAATTACATTTCGAGGCAGCTATAAGTCTCTCCGTGACTTTATCAGGCTGCTGCTGGGAAGATGCTCAACTGTCTAAGTGAGATTAGTGTTTCATATAGTACAAAATGGAATGAAATTCTATTAAAATACACTTTTTTTTTACTAAGTCCTATTAAATCAACACGCTTGCTTAAATACTTGTCACAGGAAATGACTGACGCGCCAATCTCAATGTGGAGGAGCTGATTATCGGATGGACAGGAAACAGGACGGATAACAGTAGCTTTGAGGTTGCGTGTGGACACGAAGCTGCACAAACTATCATATGATATCTCTTTTCAGATCACAGACAAACGCGAGTATTCATAGAGTCAGAAGTAAAGAAGTAAAAACGGGTCTGTGGGAAGGTGGTTTGAACTATCCGTCTCCACATGTCAGAAATGAAAGGCTGGATACATGAAAACAACATCATATGAGAGGGGTGGTGATACACGGCTGCGTCACACTCCATCAGAGGACAGAATTCACTGGAGTTAGCACGGCAAAAGAGGAAAGGGGAATCACCTTTGCAAAGGTTAAAGGGGGACGCTGTCTGGACTGGGACAGGAAGTGTAACTGTACAACTTTACACCATAGTTCACGTACAATATCGACTATAGTTCAGCTTCTGCTGGACCCCAGTGGGACCAACAGCTTCCATATGTGAGCAGCCCAAGATGTGTAGCTTTGTGGTAACTGAGGAAACGGGTAGTGTCGAGCACAGAGCAGATGGGGGAGAAAGTGTGTTAAACTAAATCCAAAAGAAACGTAGCTTGATGATTATTGAAAAATCACACACACACTCAAATTTGTACTGAGTAATCAAGACATAGAGCCCTATTAGTCCATTCATTAAATCAACAACTACTTCAACTGATTCATTTTTGGTTTCTATGGAAACCTATTGAACCACTCAGCGCTTGATTAGCAATAAAGAGTGTGCAGCACAATATACTCACAGACATATTCATAAACACAAATAAGCATGTAGGAATATTCCAAAATAGACCTGCACGCGAGGCACGTACTCAATGGAGATTAAGAAAATTCTTCCCAAGAAGGAAAAATATAAATAATAAAATGAACAACAAAATAAATAAATGGATTATAGAATTTTGGTACTTACAGCATTATCAAAACTGGCCAATTTGCAGCCGTACCAAAGAGGCTAAGGCCTTCGGCTCATTCATTTAGAGATGGCTAAGCGCCTATAGCTTAGTTTTCCTCTTTTGATGGAGCAGTTTTAGCCCAAAAGCAATCAGGCGAACTTACTAGCCCTGTCAGCGACTGCAGTCAATGCAATCCTGCATTGAGAAAATAACCACTGAGCAGATTTTCTACCTTTCTGTCTCCATTCAACACGTCTTTTTCTTCCCTCTTTTGAGGGAAATGACAGAAAGAGTGATTAACTGCTGAAATCCTCCCGCTGGCCCCCTAACACACACACACACACACCTATCCGCACATGCGCACACACACATATACAGTGTGTCACACACAAAAACTCAAATTCATCATTCATGTTTCATGTGAATAGTGCAGTTTGGAAAGCCCAATTTCCATGACAACCGGTCTGAGGATGAAGAACTGTCAATTGTCAGAGCACCTTGATTCTGAAGAGCACTCAGGAGTGAAGGGAAGGAGCCGAGGAAGAGGGATGAAATATAAAAAGGTGGGTCGGTTAAAAAGGATCAAGGGACAAGCGGAGGAATAGGTAATGATCCTGCCAAAGACCCCCCCAGTATACCTCCTCGTCATGACTTACAATATAGATGAGAGGTTAACAGATAAACATACAGCAGAGAGAAATGAAAAAATAAGTGAAAGATGAAAGCAAATCGATGAAACGAGAGCTGGAGGAGCAGAGGAATACAAAGTCAGAACAAAGCTAATTAAAAAGCATCTAAAGCAGTTTCTACTTCTCCTCTCTGAAAACTGGCTAAAGGTGTCCAAACAACTAACGCCAATGATGTCTCTAATTCTTAGTTTTGATTCACATTTAATGTATTCATGTATTCATCATGTTCTGCTCGCTTGTTTTTTGTTCTATTTCAACAACTGCTGGTGGAGCCATGTCCAATTTAGTTGAGGTATTCATGCATGTATGCAACACTGGAGGTGTGGGAGCGCATACATAACCCGTTATGTGGTTTCTCCTTCTTATTTTTACTCAACGCTGTAAAATATCAATACTCTTGTGCAGTATTCGGCTGTGAAACATTTTGTGTGATGTTTTCTTTTTTACAGATTCATTGTGACATCAACTCCAATATTTCCGGAGAAGTCTGCAGCAGGTGAAAGTGCTTATTTGTGCTTCTAGGATTATTATGTGTCTGGCATCAGTCGGATAAAGGGACCTTCTGTGCCTGGTCCCGTCTGTTTGTTATCATGTCAGCCATGCCACTGATAATTCTCTTATGTAACACGAGTTCTGTACTGCAACATCACAAACTGACAACACCGGCACTCATCTCTCAAACTCTTGCTCAACTTTTGTTTGAGGGTTAGCCAACAATCCCCATGACACCACAGCAAGCTGTCCTCAAAAACTGTTGCTCCAAGTAGTCACTTGGGCTCGAAAAACATCTCTTGGAACATTGCTTGAACTTTTGACTGTGACTCTGACATAAACAAGTGGCAGCAATACCACTTAGAGGTGCGTCCTGAGGGGTCAGTCACTTTTCTAACAACTATAACAAGCGTCGTACACGTTAAAACCTCTTCTCTTCTATGATGAGCGGCTTGGGTGGAAACCACGTTCCCTTCAATAAGCTGACCTCCGCAACCGCTCATATTCGTCTTAAAACATCTGCTGTGTTCCAATGAGAGCCTGATGAACATGAACAAATGGGAAACATTTGACTCCCGGGAGAAGTGACGTGACATTTTTGAACAACTCAGTTCATTGCCCTGCCGTCTAAACAAAGACTAAACTGCACACGGAAACCGCTCTTATTACTGCATTTAGGGTAGAATTTAAGAGGTCTATTTGACAGAGACCTGATCCTTTCACGGCCCGGAGCTGATGGAGACGCACAGCGGTGACATCGCCACCAGGACGTACGCCTCTCCGGTGGAGAGCAGACACTTTCCCCGCAGTACAATCAGCGACACCACCTCAAAACTGCCCCTCGGGTACCAAACGTAGAAACAACAATGGGATCTACTGTACTTTTGCCCCTTTAGAAGGAGAAATGTATACCCAGGCTTAAAATCATTAACATGTCAGGCCACCAGCCGGCACAATCTGTGGTGTGTGCTGGCCCCTCATTGCATGTGGGACGAAGAGCCACGGGAACAAAGGGCGACAACAGCGCACACTGTTGCTGGAGAGTCACGTGACACCTCGGCACATCGGATGAGAGGATGAAGGGCTGGAGCCATGTTCTCTTTAAGGTCCCTCAGTACGGACAAGCAGGAAGTGCTTCCTGACATACAGGATGGAAAGAGGACACAAAGGAGGAGCCTGTTCGGGCCCGTTTCAACACACGCTAAAAGTTGGAGCTCAAAAAGTAGACAGTAGAACAAACATGAACATCCTAAGGGTCAATAGAGACATCTGGTATCTTTACAGATCTCGTATTTCCTCTTCAGCTGGTTGTTTTTCCACCGGAGGACTGAAGTAATTGCATGGGATCTTCAAAGAAGATCAACATACAACAACTACAGTTAAAGCCGCACAAGCTCGAGGGACACCGACGTCTGGTTATATAACGGCGACATAATAAGTCAACACTAAACTTCTTAATGAGATCATGAGACGCACGGACCCGACCGCACACCCTCACCCACCTCCCAGATGAGCCGTGCGTGTTCGCGAGGACTCCCTCCGGAGTCTTCTCCACAGGACACGCTGTTCGTGTGGAACATTAGGAACACTGACTTACTGATGAGGCCGCAGTCACAGGACGATCAGGAGCTCCAGCCAAATGTGTTCCCTCCTCCGTTTTCTCGCCGTCCTCGACGCAGAGCCCCGTGGAGCGGACTGGGAAACACCAGCTGCTCTGTGACATTTTTTCAAGACGTGCTGCAGGTTTGAAAAGAATCTGGCTTTTGCCAGATATCAGTTTTAAAGCAAATGCACGGGAGTGCAGAGTGGCACCACCATCTACGCCCTCGCTACTCTGCTGCTCTCCACCATCCATCATCTGGTTAGGGAGGGTCGGTGTCCGCAGGCTTTCAACAGCAAATTAGATTGCCAATTGATGCGTAATGGCTCGTTACATTTAGCAGCACTTGAATGGTATCAGTGACACACCGAGTTGGACTTGCAGATTTTCAGCTGCCAACATACATCGTAGGAAATAAAGAAAGGCTTATTAAACTTGAGGAAAAACCCATATTAACAGACTTAACTCTGAAAGGTCAACCGTGTGAGCACACGTGTGCAGATAGCGAGTGGTTAATGCAGTCCGTCGCTGAGCGTTGAGCAGATGTGGAGTGGATTTATCTGAGCTTTTTTTTGTTATTGTTAAAAACAGCAGAATGAACCGTAAAGGAAAAGTTGAAGGACCCAATAAACAAATACATCCAAATTAACTCTTGGTTAGGAAAGACATGAGATTGTTCTGGTGTCTGGGAATCATCTGAGCCGATTGGATCGCAAACCACATCCTCCCCTACGTTCCCACTTTTAAATGCATAAAACAGCAAAGCAACAGTTCATACTTGGGCTGTGACGGACTGTTATCTGATGCTGTCGCTCTCATTAAGGAAGACATACTCCATGTCGCAGAGCACAGAGCTCCCCATTAGACCATTAAGTCATCAGGGCTCTGCACCATCTCGCTTACTCGAACGCACTCCCTTCTGTGCCGGGGCAGAAAACACAACCACGGTAAACTGGTTGTACAATGCGTATGTGTATAGAAACACACACAAACACGTGCCTTGGAAGCATTCTATTGAACCCATTCACCCACCAGGATTAGTAGAAACACTTTAAGTATTAGTGCTTCCACTGCTTAACCCAAAGCACACAGGATTCCTGAAGCAACCGACCCAAACAGATTCTTTGTGACAAAAGGATTGTCTCTGAAATGGGTCTCATGTGGACATAAGCGTGGCTTGTCCCAATTTGTACTTCCGAGCCCCAGCAGATTGACACATTGCACATTTCGCACACCTCCGGAAAGGTTCAAACCGAAGCTCGAGCTGCCCCGAGGCTCTGCAGCTGCTACATGCTGGGAATTAGAGCGTTTTATATCAAAGAGCCAATTGTAATTTCTTGAAAATCATTTGCTGCGGCGTTGGCATCGAGGGTTTGTGATTAAAGTGTTATCGAGGTGGGGCTCCTCCTCCTATAGGAGCCGTAGGAATATATAATTTTGTATAAGACATTCCAGTTCAGGGATAAAAGTTGGACCGAGCATTTTCGCCTTTCCGGTGCTTTAGGTTCACCTCGTTTTCACCTCATTTTCACCATCTTCACTTGTGTTTTACACAATTTGGCTTCACTAAAGATATCATCATACTTTCATCAGAGCTGCGGCAGCTGCTTTATTGCGTTACCAAAATTCTCTCACTTGCCATTAAGCAATGAATTGTAGTTTCAACATAACAAAATGATCAAGATCTATCACCCAGTATTGCGAGATTTGCTTCCACAACCAAGCAAGCAGAGACCTATAATTCAGCACTAGTCTGGCCTGTTGTGTAAAGACGGGTGCATGTGAGGTGCGCTGTGCTAACTCAATTTTTACAATCCATGTTTATTTCTTAACCGGCCGGTCTAAAGCATAAAAAGCTAAATCCTGCACGGTCCAGCCGACATGCTGAAATAAGCACTTTGGTTTTACACAGACTTTCTGGTCACAGTCAGCATGTAATAACTGGGTAGGATGTGTTTTTCTGAACGTATTCTTCTTAAAGGACTAGTTTGACAATTTGGGATATTGTCTTATTGCTTTCTGGACAAGCGTCAAAGAAGACTGATACTACTATGTTTGCACGGTAAATAGGAACTTAACAGTCGGTTAGCTTAGCTTAGCACAAGGACTGGAAACAAGAAGAACAGCTTGAATTATTCATTTTAGACACAGTGTGTGTGAACTATATAGTATGTACAGCCATGTATTGGAGATGGGGATTAATGAGCACATAAATTAAATAATGATGTGAGTTTAGAACAAATTCAGACGCAGAATAAGGTTGTCATACAAAAATAATGAGATTGGATGCAGCACCATTGTCTGCTCGTTAAATAAAAGTTTTGAAACAAGTTGACTGCTATCTGTTTCCATCTGACCCTCTTCAATTAAAACTGCGAGGATGTACCGGGGGGATTTTTCTAATTTCACGCTCCGGCGCCCATTTTAGGGAATTAAACTAAAATTCCTCAAGGCAGCAAACAACTTGACACAAGTGACTTAACAATCATTTAACCTCAGTCACACAGCGAATACAACTCAGCCCTATGTCAACTCAGCCCAATGTCAAAATGGAGCAAAAATCACACTTTAATGAAAAAAAATCAACTAGTGTAAAAAATAAGTACTGGAACTACTTGGAAAAACTTTCCCCCGATCCACCAGAGTGAATCGAAAAGGCATAGCGGATTAGAACACTGTTGCAAAGCTTCTATTGACCTAGAAGTATGTTGTGTTCATCACAACTAAATCAGGAAGCACGAGTGTATTTGATTGTGTGCGTGTGTGTGTGCGCGCGTTTGCAATCATGTGTCTGTGCATAAGAGCGATTAAGCTCCAATCACATCGCTGCACCTAATCCCTTTAAAATGGGCCTTCCTGTTTGAGACTGAAAGCTCAACATCCTTCTCGGCGGAAGAGCCTCATAGTGGCATCAATGCGTTCCAGCATTAATCTTGCACATTTAGTTAAACTAAATATATCATCTATGCTGAGGTATATGCACAGCACATACATTATATCAGAGTTACTAGCGCTGACACGCAGGTGGGATGTGGTCTGGAGGAGGAGGGGAAATAAGGTGAATGAAGGAAAGAGGAAGCAAGGGAGGAGGTGTGTAAATGGTGAACTGATTAACCAGGAGGACGTAAAGGAAAGAAGGAAGGGAAGCAGGATGGACGATGGCCGGTGCCCGTAGGACTCCGATTTGGGGAAGAAAGGTTGCCACCACGGTCCAATAGTGTTGGGAACCATCCACAGGAAGCAGCATTTGACACAAGGCCTGTAGAAGACGGCCGATGTGCAGATTGCAACAAACACAGGATAAGCTCATGCAAAAACACTTGACTCAGCAACATGTTTACCTAAAAAAAACAACTTGACACAGCAGGTTACTTCCCTATTTTTGACTATAATTTCTAGGATAATTTCTAGATTAAAAAAATACTAAACCATTACAAATTATCCAACATATTAGATAAAGAATACGCAATTAGTGTATTTCTTGAGAATGAATAATAACAATATTATCCTATTTCAAAATGAGTTCAATTAAAAAATGAACACTGGAAACGTCTAGTGTTTTGGGCTGGAATTGCACCATTGAAAATAGATGTTCAGACCAAATGTTAAAATAAATATATCATCTATGCTGAGGTGTACAATCCTGTAAATTAATTGCCCATTTTATCATGTATTCATGAAGATGACCTGAGTTTAGTTGCTGATTCATTTTCGAGCAGGGCCCGGAACCAGAGGCCTGGACTTCGAGAGGTTCTGGTGGTCTTTCAAGTCAGAACCTCCACTCGGCACCAGTTCATCCGGAAATGATCAGAGATTTGCCAGAAGTTATTTTTTCCTACCGCACATAAAAACGCCTCATCTTATCTCCCATAAGCAGACGCGTACATTTCGTCATGTCAATTCCATTCACCCTGACTCAATAATGTTCGAGAGGGAGGGGGGAGAGGGAGAGGGGGGGGAGGAGGAGAGAGAGGGAAAGTAATTTCACAACCTTCACCAAAGCCTCTGAGAAATTTTGTCAAAATGCAAAAACGCACACAATAAAAAAATTGATTGATTGTACTTTTCCCATCTCTGATTCACACACACACACACACACACAAACGCCCCCAGTGACTACTATAGAGCCTTGAGCCGAGCACACCAATAGTATTTCCATATCACTCCACCCGGCTTCTAGCACTTGGCCCCACATTCATTTTTTTCTCAATTCATTTAAAAATGATGAATACAGAAAATTAACACATGGAAGGACATGATGCAAAAGTATTGAAACACATATCTAAAAGTTTTTTTCTATTCCTAGTGAAGAAAAGCAGTAGGATAATTGAAAGTGTTTTTCTCTCTGCAGAAACCCCATTTTGTCATGAATTTATTCTTTAGTATATATTACTGGATTATGACATCTGTCCAAATGGCAGTTAGTCCATAAAATTATATTACAAAAGTGAAACATGTTTCAAAATATAATATAAAATATAATATAAATATAATATATAATATAATTTTATAATATAATGTCAATGCACCACACACCTGTTTTTAATAAGTTAGCGTAAAAAGTTTCACAGCGTTTTTAAAATCGTATTTTATAGGTGTGATTCATCTTATTAATTGAAGATCTTTGGCTGTAAACCAATATTCTGGTGGAAACTGCTCGAGACGTATTTACTATTTTAAGCTTTAAGCTAAGTTAGCTTACTTTTAGCGCTGCTAGCTAGACAACTCTTCAACCAGCAGTTCGGGATTGCTGGTTCCATCTCGTGACTTCTTTCCAGAACATTTTATACCCGCCGCTCTGATAAAAACTACTCCAGCAGAAGCCACCCGAGGAGAAAACACAAAAGCTAGCCAAGGTATCGTTCAAGGTTAGCTAACGCTGATGTTAGCTAATGCTAGATTCAGCTACCCGTCGATCTGAATCAACGTAAATGAATCGAATCCGACTGGATGTCCGGATTATTTAGCTCTCCACAACTACGGAGTCATAAAATGCGTCATAACCTCGTTAATGTGTTGCTGCCCTGCTTGTTTTCAGCCACACTGTCGTTACGCTTGGTTAATTATACTGGATCATTTTGATGCAAATACATTTGGCCAGGATGCCTCATCTCACACACACACACACACACAAATCCTCACTGTAATGTAAATTAGTGCTGAGCAGTACAGGCATGTATGTGTGATAAGTGATGATAAAAGTTCAGATGAAGCAGCAACCCAGTACAGGTGCGGCAAACAGAAGCTCCGTCACTTATTGGACCGAACCTGGTCGGTCGGCTTCTCCTTAGAGAGGTCAAGAAGCTGATGGCTGATCTAAAGGTGTGAGGGTGAAGGATGTGTGATCCGAGGGCAGAACTCGGCTGAGAGGAGCAGAAGTGAGTCGAGGAAAGATGAGACAGCCAGAAGATCAAATAACACACACACAGACATACACGTCCACACAGCGTGGCCTTTATGACCGGTGATACAGTCCGTCTCCGGGGCCTTCGGGGCCGGATTCAAGGGCCAGAGTGATGAAGAGCGCTCAGGGCTCTGCTTTTTGATCCGGTTGGATTGGTTCTGTCAATGGTTATCTTTGCTTTGATAGGAGCAGCCGGAGCCTTCGGGCGGTGCCCCGCTGCCCCATGGGACACGTTATCTAAAGTTTAAACCTGGCGTGGTGCCGTTGGTGTCTTCTTTCTTTAGACACGGTGACAGAATGATCAAATGAAGTGAGACGGGCAAGTGATTTTTTCTATATAAGTTTGTATCAGTTATAGTCACTGCACCTTGGTTGAAATGACTCAAAGGCCACTGTGCGTTCTCGCCCACTGAGGTGTGGGAATGAAATGACTAATTGTAGTGATGTGTATCGGGGTAGGGGGTTATTGATGCTGCTAAATGAGGGGTTTTCCTGCAGCAATGATGATGATGATGATGCATGATAGCGGGCACAGGAAGAGATTCACAGACAGACCATAATGCCGAGGCTTTGGATGGCGTGATGGAGTCATCAGGGATTTTCCCTGCTGCGTCTCACTGGACGTGTCCTCTGATGCATGGCAGGCTTTTGTCTTTTAACAGCCACACAGACGAGCCACTTTCATCTGATGATACTTAGGAATCTGATATTATACATTAGCTTTAGGATTTATCAAAGACATGTCAATGGAATTGAGATTGTTTTTTAGTGCTCTGAATACGTTCTATCAATTTTGTGCTTTTTTCTGCTGTCGTAATGACACATTTTCCCCAGGATTCATTAGAAGTGGATCATCATCACCACAGTGTCAGACCCATCACACTTAATCATCCAGCTGAAGTCTCTCCAGGAAGCATGACGTGAACATGTCGTCGGCTCTTCTTACGCCTCATGGCATCGTTCCACGGCAACATTTTGGCCTATAATTATCTGCTGCCTTTCAGTCCTTATTATATAAAACCCTCTTTAGTGGTCACGTTTTTCACGGGAAAAAAAACCTTTGAGTTATGTGAAAAAAGAACCATTGATAACCTAGATACATACACAATTGTCCACGTGCATCATGGCCTATTTATTCCTGTTCTGTTCTGTGGTGCTCACTGCTCAGGATAATAACTAAAGGCTTCTGGGCTTTAATAATGTGTCAATGTTATATGTAATTTCGATAATGACTGAAAAACTGGGTTTGTTTTCAGGGTTTAGATATTTGAGCATGTATATGATTAAATGCTGGATTTTTACTCGGTGTCAATTCCAGCCCGAACTGTAAACGGCGACCTTAAATGTAGAATATATCATCGTTATTTATTTACAGTATTTTGCATTTTGTTGCTTTTAGATGACTATGGACAACAGAAAGAGGCCAGCGGGCTCCTCAAACTCTGGGAGCTTGGTGTACTGGTCCTCCTCGTTTCCGCGGCAACCGGCCAGGGTCCTGATAGTGGAGGCGCTGCCGCCCCGGTGGTCAGAGACCCGTCCTGCGCTCTGTGACGCTCTGGATAACTTTGTGTCCCTGGCCTGTAGCCTGGATGGACCCTGCAGGATACCGCTGCTCAGCCTGTACGCCATCAGCAGGCAGCAGGAGTGTCTGCTGCCATTTGCGGTGAGACGGATGAAGACTGAAGAAGACCTCGAGCCATCCTCCCTCCGTTGCTTTCTGTCGCCCCGTTTGACCCCTGCGCGTCGCCCCTTCTCTCCTCCTTCAGCAGGTCCGTGGTAACCTGGCCAGGCTGCGCTCCTGCGTGGAGGAGCTGAGGACTCTACCGGGTGAAGGTTGTGTCAAAGGAGCGGCCAGAGGAGGCGAGCTGCTGCGCCAGGCGGTGCTGGACAGTCTGCAGCAGTTTAATCAGTTCATCAGACACGCCGGCTCCGGCAGCCGAGCCGGCAGCAATATCTCTGTGGAGGTCAGCATATTTTTTTATTCATGAACACAGGAATGACAAAGTCGTCATCTTGGTTTAATAAGTGGGTTGACGAAGCTGAGCTACGTTTACTTTAAGTTACTGTTGGAACTTGTGTCCATTAAATATTTGTTGTTTTCCATCGGTTCAGATCCATTACGTAGAAGCGCGTCTCTGCTGCAGACCAGCTCAGAGTGAATAAACCGCTTTTAATATTCAGTGTGCTTCATGCTAATGTAGAGGAAAAGGCTCCACTCATATCTGTTAAAGGAGGTCTCTCTCGGTCCAACTCAGTGTAATTAGCACCTACAAAAGCATATTGAATTCCATTCCTTTTTTCCAAACATTTTTAGAAGCTTGACAAAATTCTCTGTTGGCAGTGCACTTATATCAGGCGGCCCACGGAAAAACAGCTCAAGTACATTTCTAATGCAGAAAGTGGGCTCCACTAGTCTACCTAGTTGTGTTCAGTGGTTTCCAGAGCCACCCGCTCCGGCTCAGCTGTCCCATCTGAGGAGCATTTAAATCACAAATCCACTTCTGTGCAGTATGTGACAATCTATTTTCTTCTGTCCTGTGTAGTTTGTTTCCACTCTGCTCGTACTTCACGTTATCATGAATGAAATTTGCGACATCGAAAAAGGTCAGCGCTGTCGCTTGGATGCTGCCCGTTTGCTGGGATCTATTCCTGGGTATTTTATGTAACTCAAAGCCAGCCTTTTGGCTCGTGTTCCGTACGAGGATCCAAGCTCCGAATAGACACAAATACAGCATGTAAGAGCAAATGAGTTTAAAAGGGATATGGCTATTAGCTGACATTATGGAAAGCATTTTGTTCGTTCAATCCGAACGTTGGACACACGCCGAACCAACTGAACAATCTATCGCCCTTGTTAAATCTGAAAAGCACGTCCTCTGGACACGAGGCCGCAGGCTTGTAGACGAGGATTTCTCAAATCCAAACGGCTTTATTAGGGCGCTCTGGACAGACGATTACAATAAGACCCACTGTCTCTGACAGCAGCAGATACGAATAGCACCATTAGGGGACGGAGAGACACTAAGCAGAGACTCGGCCATCCATTTGTGTGTGTGTGTGTGTGTGTGTGTTGCTGATCCACTTATACAATGCATGTTTTCATTCATACATACGTCTCTAGCACTCATGTGTGTGTGTCTTCTGAAGCAGGAAGCAGAGCCCATCTCCGTCGCATTATAATCATCATTCACTGCCGCTGTTAATGTGATTCAGTAGGACGCTCCCCATTAAACATTAGTTTATCTGTCCCATTAGGTATGTAATAATAATCGTTTAGTCTCTTTCCATCATCAGACGCAGTGAGGACTTATTTGACAATGATGCCTTTTGCAAAAATTCACTGCGGAAATCTTCATTATCAAATAAAACATTGGATAAGCAAAACCCATTATACAGAGAGTTCATTCATGACGCTGTGGCGTGTGAGATAACGAGGGCCCGCTTACAGGAAACACAAAGGTTAAAGCTGTACTTTAGAGATGCGTTACTGTAACGTGTGGTCTGCCTCCCTTGGGTTACGGGGGGGAGTTTGCGTTACTGGGACTAGAGCAGCGGTTCTGACATGACGTGTTTAATTTAGTCATCTCAGTCCCATCCTAATGAAACATCTTTTATGTAGAGCATTAGTAAAAAAAATGGCTGCCTTGGTTTTGGGTTTGCTTGTTCGCCCAACCGCGTATGAAGAAGTACCGAGATACGTCCCGAGTAAATGTACCATTTGTGTTTCGGGTTGTTAACTGTTGAGCCTGAGGCCTTCTGCTGTATCCACAGGTCACCGTGGTGACCAGCCAGCCAGGACGGGGCGTGGTTCGCCGGCTGGAGGCGGGGCTCAAGGACGCCGACCTGACGTCACTGAGGCGGCTGCTGGTGGTGCAGATCTGCAACGCGGCCGACTGGGGCCGAGACGACCAGCCGCCCGGGGCTCCGCCCGGCGAGATCGAGGGTAGCTACGCAGAGCGGGTCGCACGCCACCCAAGGTGGGGGGGTGGGGCGGGGGGGTCTGCTTTCGCTTTCCTTCACTTCCCCTCACTCTCCAAATCCCCCCACCCACCTCCCTCAGACACATGATATGTGATGCTCAGTAATGACACGGGGGCTCAAGTGGTGCGGTCTCAGGCCTGGATGGAAATGAGGGAAACACACAGGGAGGAAGAAGGAAAGACAAAAGGAGAGCGAGTGCACTTGAAGAGGGGCGCGGTGAACGTGGCGAGTGGAGCCTTTCTTGTGAAAGTATTCATGCGGCATCTGAAATATTCATTCCGCGGTGATAAACTGTTACTTTCAGTGGGGAGGAAGGCCGCCAAAGGGACTGCGAGCGCGTATTTTTCGAAGCGGGAGACGTGGTGCTAATGATGCTGTGATGTTTTTTACTCACCTGACACAGTTATGGCAGTTATGCAACGTTTGTTCTCATTAGCTCGTCTTTTCCACATCCAAACCCACAGGGAAAAGTTTGGGGTTTACGTGTCCCAGTTGTTGTCCCCAGAGAAGCAGCTGCTGCTCCCCTTAATAAGTCTTGTTTTATTATTGTCACGCAAACTAAATGGATGCACAAGGGTGTGCAGGGCAGTTTTTGGCGTTAAATGCAGAATATATCTCATTTTTCTTTCCTTATTCATACAGAGGAAAATACATTTTGCTTAACTGCTCTCGGGGTCTCGTACGGTCTGAAGTATTTAGAATAAAATCACAAGGTAGCAGCTCCTCTATGAATCCCTTTGCATTTATTATATTCATCAATCCATACTAGTGATGCTTAGTCCGGTCCCTCCCCAGTGTACTTAATAATAAAAAACAATAGAAATGTGAAGAGAGAGACGTTTGGAATGCAGCCCTGGGGACACGGTTTGCTTGGTGTTTTGTTTTTGTGATGCCACGGGTTCTAGATCACTGCGTTCCTCCACGCACAGCGTCTCCAGTGTTTATAGCACGCTGTGAAACATAATAGTCCGGAGCCCTTTAATACTGGAGCCCCCCCACCTCTCTTCATTATGTCAACACTGGTGGTGTGGTGTCCCCAAGCACCATGGAGATTGGATCCTTTCTACTGTTTCAGTTTTTTCGGTTTTCTCATGAAGTTTTTCACTGTTCATAGTCTTAAGCATAAATCAAACAAAGCGCAGCGTTCTGGATGATGCTCGTAGGAAACGGGGTCATCGGCGCTTCGTTGACCTCAGAGGTCATCCGGCTGGAAACCGTAGAGGGCTGAGACCCAAGAAAATAAGTTGAGCCATCTAGCCTGTGTGAATTCTGCTCGCCAATTGAGTTTAAAAGTGTTTCGGGCGCCGCTAGCTGACGCCCTGGTGACACAGGACGTTTTCTGTGACAGAGAGTAGTTCAGATACCTGCAGCTTGGGTGTAACCCTCAACGATAGATGTGGAGCCACTCAGATGGGACGGTTTTCCATTTCTTTCATTTATTGTGGTGGAACTGCACAAATTGTGCAGTTTATTCTCTCGGTTTGTGAAGCGCTTTCAATTTTCAGCCTCGAAAAGAGATGTGTGACTACTATGGCTCACGTCAAATCAAATGCAAAAGCGTACGAAGCGGTGCTTTTTCTAGAAACACTGTGGAACGTGGGGCGCGTTGCGGAATCTTAATAGTCTCCGTGTGTGTCGGATGCTGGGAGGGAATGCTCTGTGAGAGAGAGCAAATACGTCTCACTTAACACCACACTATTTACTTTAGCTTTGAACGTGTGTGTGTGTGTGTGTGTGTGTGAGTGAGACTGAGAGGGCCAACGCCTTGAGAAGCATCCTGTTTTTCTTGAAACCCGTGAGTGTCCCTGACTCCCCGGACTGTTCTGCAATCGGAGGCCGAGCACCAAGGGTGGGGGCGGCGGTCTTGGACGGGGTAGATTGGGGCTCCTGTGGTTTGGCTCTTACTCCTCACAGTGGAGCAGCGGAATTTTTGACGAGACAAAACACAAGGTCTATAAATGCTAGCGTTTGGGGGTGGGGTCCGGACACAGCAGTACAAGTTTGTGTCATTTTCTGAAACATCCCTCGAGACATCGCTCCCCATTTGGCGTCACACGAGTGCGCCGAGCACGCAAACACACCACGCAAAGCGTATATTTACTGCCAAGACCGAATCATGACTTCTAAAAGGAAACACATGTTTTGGGAATTATTTTCGATACAATATTCATATGAGAGATTTTTTAAATAGGCAACAAGTCTCAGAGTTGTCATGTCTTTTAATAATAAAATTAAAAAAACGTTCCCCTTTAAGCTCAAGTCGACATCATACAAAGTTTACAGTTTTCTGTATCAACCTGGACTTTCACAGGGGCGCAATTGCTTTCAATTAGAGTACAGACTGAAGAAGTTGCTTCTAGACAGCTTGGTCAAAGTGCATTGAGCCGATCATTATATTTTTTAGTTTAAGTTAAAGGAAATACGAAGGTTGAACGCAGGACCTCAGACGTGCACAGCATGCGCTCTACAACCGACCTCCATTCCCCGTGAAAAATGTCCTTTAAAGGTATTCAGAATATTTTGTTTTTCTTCTATGCAATATTAAGTATAACACCTGTCAGCCATGTTTAACATAAGGAAGGAAGGAAGGAAGGTGGAAGGGATCTAGTTAACTAAAAAAGAAAGTGCCATTGCCAGAAAAAACCTGTTTGAAGGTGAAAAAAGCTGAACAGACAAAGTATAGGCAGCAGCCAGTGAGCAAACTAAATACAGTGAAAAGCAGCTGTAGTGTGCACATAGCTGTTACATTTGGGATTTATTTATTTATTTCCCCCGTCAGTCAAACTTTGTCTGAAGACAGTCGAGAGGTGGAAAACATCTCCAATACGAAGAAAATGCACTACTAGACTATATATATATATATATATATATATATGTGCTGCTGTTACACATTCCTTTCCTTTATGACCGGGGTCTTCAACGTTTTTCAGGCCAAGGACCCCCAAACTGATGGCGAGATGGAGCAGGGACCCCCTATTCTACGGAGTTTGGTCCGCCATCTTTTATTTTTGAGCTTCGCACTCTTTAGACGTGAGCATGAACACAATCTGAGGCGCTGTGAGTGAACCGGTGTCCAGCTTGAGAGAACTTCTCCTGTGGGACGCTGAATGTGTGCGTTGCGGACTGAAAGATAACGTCTTCTCCATCCATTTATCCGTTCGCTACAATATGAGGGATTCATGTGAATGTGTATTTAAAGACAATAACTACAATTCTGATTTTGAAGACATTGAAATTTGTGGGGAGAAAATTGGTTGAAAAAAAAATGTTTTTGCGACCCCCCCCTGCAGTACCTCCGCGGACCCCCTGTTGAAGACCTCTGCTTTAAGACATTCTCATATGGTCACACAATACTGTCTCTACAGTATGTCAGAGCTGCACAGAGTCAGCGGTGCTCTGAATGAATGCAGCCTTGTTGAGGACGGAGTCTATTAATGGTGTCAGTAAAAAATCAGTAAAAGTCTACGAATGGCGGTTCCACTCGGACACCGCAAACAGAGAGCACCAGCAGACAGACAGACTCCCCCCCCAACCCCTCCAATCCCCCCCAAAGTTATAAACTTAAGGGAACCCCTATTACATCAAAGTTAATACTTTGCCGCATGAAACTGCGATTGCGAGGCAGTGTGTTTACTGTTATTCAAATATGTACATAAATAAGCGTGCAGGTCTAGTTGTGCGATTGGAGCCCTTTGTCTCTCTCCTTATAGTGATGTGCGGCATTATGAAAATCCATGTGACTCAGGCTTCCAAAAACTCCCCGTAAATCCCTTTCAGCCAAAATCGGCATCCTCGTCATCACATTTTGACAAATATTCATGCAAACGGTTTAAGTCTTTTTCACACTTCTCTGTTTCGTCAAAGCTTTTATTGCGTTCAAATAGCTATTCGGCAAACGCTTCCCAAATTGGCAATAGTCCACGTCTGTTTAATCCCCAACATCCGTGTTTGGAGTGACAGCCTTTATTCCATTCAAAACACTTGAGCTATTTTTCTTTCTCATTTGTATCGCCTGTGGAGGATCCGTCCCCGTCCGTCCTCCCGTCTGTCTCACATCAATAAACCTCCTTTATTGCTCCTCTGCTTTAGCTCTGAGCTTTGAGGTAAACACTATTTTCTCCTCCAGGAGGTTCAGAGCGCCGCTACAATCCAAGTGGGAATGTGCGGACACCAATAACATGCAAATACTGAACCACACACCCATATATTATTGTTCACATATTATTATTTTCCTCGCCCAATAAATGAAACATTTGTCTTTTAAAAACACTGGTTAAGAAAACAAGGCACTAATCTTGTCTTTTTGGAGTTAAAGTCAAAAGCAGTTTAAAGCAGACTGGGTGTCTTGGGATGAATAGCTCTTCCTAAACTGACGCCCCATCACTGATTCCCGGACGGGTCTCTCAATAGAAAAGGATTATAGGCCCATTATATCTCCTCTAATCCTCTGCCCTCTCTCGTCCCAAACGGCCCACCGCATCCACCTCTGTGTTTTCCCGCTCCACATCTGTCCGTTCCTTTGCCGTGTGCCCGTCCAGTTTGTGCTGACAGCGATAAGGACCTTTCACAAGGGACGGACGGCGGCGGTGGTCAAAAGAACAGAGCGAGTGTGCGTCAGAGAGAGAGAGAGAGAGGACGCGTGCTCCTGTAATTGGGCGTGCATGTGTTTGTTTTACCTCTCGTGTCCTCTCTCTGTGCGCTTTAGTACAAATGAGCGAGTGGCTTCTGAGCGTCCCTCTTTGCCCCCTCTCCCTCACTCTGGTGGGTGGGTGGTTGGGGGGGTTTCTTTGCAACCCTTCTGCGCTTCACAGGATCTGTCTTGCTCCATCGAAGCGTAACAGAGAGACGACTGGCCTTTTTTTTTTTTTACTTCTCTCTCCAGCTCCTTTTTTCCTCTTTTCCTACGTGTCTTTTTGGGAGCAGTTCTCGGCCTACATTTTGTGTCCGACTCCCTCTCCTCCC